CATTTTGGTGTTTTCCCCTTGACCTGGTTTTCTGTCCTCACACCAACAACACAGGTGTCTCGATTACTGTGGTTTTATAGCACATTTACTGATGCAAGTCCTTTAACTTTGTTCTTTTAAGGTTGCTTTTGCTCTTCTAGGTCCTTGGTATTTCCTTATAAATTTTAGGGTTAGCTCGTCAATGTCTGCAGAGTAACAGTAGGGATTTGGGCTAAGAATGCATCGAAGCTGCACATCCATGTGTTAGAGTTCTCCAGAGAAACAGAAGTTACTTTCTCTTTCCCTCTCTCCCTTCCTCTCCCCTCCCTCATACAGAGTTTATTCTGTTTTTAAAGAGTTAATAGTGATGCTCTGCATCGATTTTGAGACCAAAAAACATACGATACATGTTTCGAAAAACACCGGTGGAGTGAGGGAGAGAGGAACCTATGAAATAAGTGAGTACCGTCTACCAGGAAGTGCTCCCAGGTGTGTAAAGGGAACTCTGGGAACGAGGCAGCAAGTGAGGGCCAAACCAGATGGGTTCGTCCCTGAAGAGTTTGCCTAGAAGGGGGGGCATTTCTACATTTGACGGGAGCGCAGGGAGAGGTAGTTGAGTTCCAGGACAAGCACTGTGGTGCTGCTGGGAAATGATGAGGTTGATGAGGTGCGGTGGGTGAGCTGTGTAGTCAGCTCAGTCCAGCTGGGATGTGAGGGCCGGGGAGGGGTGGGAGAAGATGAGGTTACAGATAGCAACGACAGCAGCAAAAATCACAAAAACTCTGATGCAATAGCCTGAAAATGTTTAGATTTTGTTATATGCGTATCAGGAAAGCACTGGAAGGTAAACTGAGAAATGACCCATTCCATTTGCCATTCGCAGAGGTTCACTCTGTCAGCGGTGTGGAGGGAGACCAGTCTACCCTATGGAATCATGATTTAGAACAGGCAAGCCAGAGCCACAGGACACGCGTTGTGGAAGCCAGATCGCCTAACCCACCTTACGCAGTGACCCTTCCATTCTGCCACGTGGCTTCTCAGAGGGTCCACGCAGATGCACAAATTGTGCTCCTTTAAGTATTTGTCGTTGTGAAAATGATAGTCCCTTTCAGGGCATAGTAAAAGGTGGAGATAGAACTTATTTCTTCTTTCTTCTTCCCTCTGTAGGGTTTCCTCATCTGCAGAGCAAAGTTGTGGCCACCTGTGAGAGATCTGATCTCTTACAGCTACACCATGGCATTATTCTAGGTGCTGTGTAACTGTTAACTCATTTAATCTTCACAACAATGATCTGTGGTATTATTATTTCCATTCCATAGATGAGGAAACTGAGGTACATGGAAGTAAGTGACTCACCTAAAAGTCACACATCCCATAATTAGCAAAGCTGGGTTTTAGGCAAAATCTGTTCTAACCATTGTGATGCTTCTTGGTTGGGTTTGGTTTCATTCCAGCCATGTCCTTGAAGCTAGACCTTCGAACAAAGATAATCATGGAAAGATTTGGCTTTGAGTCTCAATATTGCCAGATCTGACTCTTCCCTGATAGAGAGGAAGAAGAAAGTGTTTCTGGCTGGAGAAAGCAGAAGAATGGCTTCTTGGAAGGAACTACCTTTGTGTGTGTGTGTTTGTTTAAGAGACAATGTGCACGTGCGTGCGCATGAGAGAATGTATGTGCACACGGGAGGGACAGAAGAAGAGAGAATCCTAAGCAGGCTCCACACTAAGTGGAGCCTGACACAGAGCTCGATCTCATGACCGCAAGATCATGAACTGTCCTGAAATCAGTAGTCAGACCCTTAACCAACTGAGCCACCCAGGTGTCCCAGGAAGTGGTATTTCAGTGGAGCTTGGAGAAACGAGTGGAATTTTGAGAAGTAAAAATTGCTGAGAAGAAAGGGCAGCAGTTCCAGCCAAGATAAAGGAATCCAACTGTAACCTCCCTCTGTTTACAACTAAAAAACTGGACAGAATGTGAAAACCACCTGAGAGTCCTGAGAGGCAGGTGGAGGATACTGGGACCTGAAACTTGGATGATGACCCATCATGGCGTCTGTCACATGGAATTGCATGGTGGTGTGGGAAGCTGCCACTCTGAGATAGCACCGTCTTTCCAGCCAGGGGAGCCCAGCAGTGGAGCCGCCAGAGGGTGTGAGGAAATCCCTGAGAAGAGAGAGCTGGAGAAAGGGCCCCAGTCACTCTGTGCGGGGACTGACCTAAGTCATGGGCACGCTCCAAGGTGTGTATGCATGGAATAGACCCAAGGAGGTGCAGCAAAGGCTTTGAGAACTTAACCGTAACATTAACACCACCCAGGTCCCAGATAAACCTCTGTGGCAGGCAGACCCAGTTAGCCTAGTGAAGGCTTTGAGAACCAGGCTGGCATTGAGGCTGTCAGTTGCAAAAGAGGAGATAGAACTTTCAGTCTGAACCTAAGTGGGTTCGTTGTCTGTTAAATAAATAAACAAAAATATCCACGTTTTCCCCCCAGAGAATTTAAGCAGGATCCAGAGTCTCATAATACATTATTCAAAAGTCCAGGATACAGGGGCGCCTGGGTGGCTCAGTCAGCTGAGCGTCCAACTTTGGCTCAGGTTATAATCTCACAGGTTGTGAGTTCAAGCCCTGCATTGGGCTCTGTGCTGACAGCTAGCTCAGAGCCTGGAGCCTGGTTCGGATTCTGAGTCTCCCTCTATCTCTGCCCTTCCCCACCTCACACTCTGTCTCTCTCTCTGTCTCTCAAAAATAAATGAACGTTAAAAAATTTTTTAAAAGTCCAGCATACAATCCAAATTTGCTCAATATAAAAGAGACAGGGAGTGCCTGGGTGGCCCAGTTGGTTGAGTGTCCGACTCTTGATTTTGGCTCAGGTCATGGTCTCGTGGTTCATGGCATTGAGCCCTGTGCTGGGCTCCACCTGGAGTGTGGAGCCTGCCTGAGATTCTCTCCATTTATTTAAAAAGATAAATATCTTTTTAAAAAGAGGGCTGTGACTCTAAATAACCTGTTTATTCACAGCCCAAGAGAGAACCCAAAGTATTTTTTTTCTCTTTTTACTGCTTTTGATTGGTGAGAGATGGGGGTGGCGAGTACCCTTGAGGTTATTTCACACCAAGCGAGAAGGCGAGAAAACTCTACAACATTCAGCTCAGAGCGCGGGTGCTGTTGACTGGGCAGAGAAATCAAGATTGGGTGCCCGGAACTTGGTGCTGTCTGCCTACCCCATTTTCGCCCTGGGACCACTTCACTGACTTCCCGTTTTCTTCTCAGGTCATGTTGTAGTTGCAGAAGACCTAAGGGTGAGGCTGGGAAGGGGTGGGAGTTTGGACTATTTTCTAAATTGAGGGAAAAGCTGGAGAAAAGACAGTAGGCTTTCTTGTGAGAATTTGGGTGTCCTGGCTTCTCGTGCTCCGGGCCGTGAGCCCTCCCCTCACTCCTTGAAGATGAGCACAGAGCCCTCCCCTGGCCCTGCGTCTGTAGGGGCTCTGGGGGTACAAACGCTGAGGGAACTGAACAGCGTAATGCTTTCATGCTGCTGGTCACAGCGACCTGATGCTTCTAACACAAGTCACCTCAATTCATAAGAATGCTGCTTGAATAGAAGAAATTTGTAGTGTCTGAAGGAGGTGTTGCTTCAACGGTGTTTCTTTTTTCTCTCTGGAATGGGAAGGTAGGTATTTTACCCCTGAGCTCTATCCCCAGGGCGTTATTACACCACTGTCTTGGAGAAATTTAAAATGACAAAGGTTACACGTGTGTAGCTTGGAAGCCCCTTTTCTTGTGAGGAAACAGAGGCGCCAGATGATAAATGACTTGCAAGGACACACAGCGATTTGGGTGGACAGCTAGGGACCGCCTGACTGGCACCTGGTTTCAGCCTTTTCTCGGAGCCCAGCCTTCCCTAGGCCACCCCCTGGGCCCTCACTTTACTGAGGGTCCCAAATTCTGATTCTCTTGGCGAGGGAGCAGTTCTGGGAAGAGTTAACACTGAAAGCAGCAGACATCGGGTTTGTTGAGGTGAACGTCAAGGTCCTGTATTTAGCCAAAGAGAAATATTGACTCATGACACTCCCAGAAAATTCATCTCCTCTCAGAAAGGAGGACGCCCCCCCTCGCCAGGCCCCAGCTTCCCGTCTCCCTCCCTGTCTCCTGCCAGGTCCGATTTACCAGTCACCATGTATTAAGCACCTGCCACATGCCAGGCCCTGCACGGTCCTTACTTCTGACCCTTAACAGGAGTCCCATCACGTGGGTGGTTCTGCACACATTTTGCAAAGGAGGAAACTGAGACCCTGAGAGCTCATATTGCATTTGCCTAGGATCGCAGTGATGCGTGATGAAGCGGGGATCCAAGTCTAGACTCATCTGGCTGCAGAGCTGGGTTCCCGTGAAATTTCGCACCACCCTTCCAGACTGGGCCTCGTCTGGGCGGCTTCCTCCTCATCCTGCCCGCACCGGAGGCTGCACCCAGGGCTTTCCTGGCCTCTGGGCCTTGAGTCAAATCTGAGTTGAGATCTTGGCTTGGCCTCTTAACAGTAGGACGATCGTGGGCAAGTCCTGGAGCCTCTCTGAGCCTCAGTTTATGGGCTCACCAACTACCTGCCTGATGGTGGGGTGATGTTGAAGATCCAGCAGCTGCTTGGGCCCATAGCTGGCATGGAGTAGGTGGCTGAGAAGCAGCTGCTATTACTAGTTTGGTGGCTGCCTACTTTCAGGGAGTGGAGGGGGGTGTTGTGAGCCATAGCTCCCCCACCCCCCACTCCTGCTGACCTTGCACGGTTCCCACTGGCTCTTTACTCCCCTCCGCTGCTCTGAGGCTTTTCACGTGCTCTCCACTACGTGCCTGACAATCGCCAGACTCAGGCTACTCCTGGTGCCACGGGATGAGACCCGGCTGTCCCTTTCAGTGTCGCCTCCCGCTGCTCAGCTTTGTGCCCCCACTTGGGCTGACTTGAACCTCTCTATGCCCTGGTGCCCTGCTCTTTGCCCACCTCCATGCTGTTTCTCTCTCCTGTCCTCCAGGTCTTCCCCATCCATGAAGGCTTTGATCCCGGGCTGGATGTGGGCTCCCACTCCTGGGCTAGGATTCTCGAGAACCTTCTTTGCAAGAAGAAAACGTTCACTTATTTGGCACATGAAGCGGAGCCACAGGCCCTGACCCTGTCCCTGGGAGCATCGAGGTAACTCGCTGGTTCAGGCGCTCACTCTCTAGGCTGGGCAGGGGTGTGGAAACAGAGTAAACAGTGCGTTAGGTATTTGGGCGCTTCTTTGATGTCTCACCATATTTAAGACTGTTAGCATCATGAGAGCCGCAGAGTGGCAGTTTTCTCTGGGCCTACTGTTATTGGGTCTGAGCTCAGAGTTACCTGCATCTTGATTGAATTGACTGATCTGAATAGGTGTGGTCACAGGTAAGTTCACAGCCATTCTCAGGCTGGCCCTGGTGGGTGGGAGGGACTGTGGGGAGCCCCAGGGCAGCTCTCTTCCTTCTGTGGTCCTCCTTTCTTCTCCATCCTCCTGAGTCACGTCCCTTGGTTGGGTCAGCATGTAGGATTTGACAGCCTTTTTGCTTTAGGGGGAAAGCTCACTGGCTTTAGGGCCAGACTTTCTTTCCCAGAAGGTTACAGGACTTCCCCCAGCCTCGCATTCATCATCTCTAAAACGTTGATCAAGAGGCGCAACATTCATGAGAGTGTTGGGGTTCAAAGTTGAGACCTTTGAGAATTTTTTTTAGTGTTTATTTATTTTTGATAGAGAGAGAGAGACAGAGACAGAGACAGAATGTGAGTAGGGGAGGGGCAGAGAGAGAGGGAGATGCTGAATCCAAAGCAGGCCCGGGCTCTGAGCTGTCAGCACAGAGCCTGACTCACAAACCATGAGATCATGACTTGAACCCAAGTCGGAAGTTCAACCGACTGAGCCACCCAGGTGCCCTTGAACATTCATATTCTTCAAGGCCTCTTTGGTCTAGACGAATTAGATCAGAATCTACTGAGGACAGTATTGGCCATCTATATTTTTATTAAAATTTTTTTGTTTATTTTTGAGAGAGAGAGAGAGCATGAGCAAGGGAGGGACAGAGAGAGAGGTAGACACAGAATCCAAAGCAGACTCCAGGCTCTGAGCTGTCAGCACAGAGCCTGACATGGGGCTCAAACTCACGGGCCATGAGATCATGACCTGAGCTGAAGTTGGAGGCCCAACTGACTAAGACACCCAGATGCCCCCGGCATCTGTGTTTTTAGATGCTTCCTAGGTGATGCTAACGCTAATATGGAGAATTACTACCTGAGTGGTTCCTCTCACCTATGCTGACCCTTATGGCTATGGGATTAGGGGTAGGGTGTACCCTGAGGACAGACTTGATGAAGCCCTTGTTCCTCTATATTCTCTTCCCTTTTCTCTCTCCACCGTGTGGCCCAGTTGGCCTTGGTCTGGTCCTAGGAAAGAGATCAACTTGCTAAGGTGACAGAGGTAAACAGTTCATCACCTTGGTGGCTGCCTTGAGGAACAGCAGCTCTCTTCAGTGCCTATGGCCTTTGGGAAATGTCATTTTCCTGTCTACTTGGGTAAAACCAAAATGGGAGGGAAGAACAAACAGCCCCTGGCACCACCTCCAGCCGAGGAATCCTGTCTTGTTTAAGACAACATTAGCAGACATTGATCCATCTCACTAATGACGGTTAAACTGAGGCTTGAAGAGAGAGATGTAGGTCGTCAGACCCTCAGTATCAGGATTTAGGAGAACATTCTTCCTCTTTGGTCTTTCAGTAGAACTCTCTCCCTCGTGCTTTGTTGCTATTTGGTCCTCCTTTGCTCTTCAGTGAGAATTCTGGGCCACCTAGTTACATTGCTCAGCTGTGACAGATCTGTTGGTCCCAGAGCGGAGCGTTGTTCTGATGCAATGACTGTCTGCCTTCAGCTCCTGAGCACTGAGATGATGGGCGAGAGCCCTGTATCTCTTTGATCTGGCAGTCAGTAAAAATCTGGTTTTACATTGCTGGGCTCCTGATTTTTAAGCACTTGGGGACAAGATTCTTCCAGATAAGCACAGAATGCCTTCATTCTGCCTAGTTGGGGGCAGTTGTGGGTATTTTTTTAAAGTACCCTACATATCTAGCCAACCAGTAAAACCTGTTTCTCAGGGGGTGAGCCGGGGTCAGAAAGTTATGATTTTATTGGGGTAAGTTTCAGGCCGCACAAACCAACATTCCTTGCCCAGCGGCTCCAGAGACCCACCAGAACCTTGGAGGATTTAAAAAAGCCAGAAGTACATTTATTCCAAAAAACAAAAACAAAAAAACAAACAAAAAAACCAAACCTGTCCAGGGGAAAGAAATGATGAAATTTCTTTGTATCATGCTGGAATTTTACCAGCTGATTGTGATAACAGCGGCAATCTTATGCTGAACAGAACCTCTTAGGGGCAGCAATATCTTTGCTCATTTGATAACAAGTAAGAACCCACATTCTTAATTAAATGTGGCTGGCTAATCGCATCTTTTAAAACCTAGGGATTGATGTGATTTGATGTGCGGTCTGGGAGCGGATGGCCAAGAAAGAATTCTCGAGATGTTTTTGGTGCAAAAAAGGTGGTTTAATTAAAGCATGGGGACAGGATCCTTGGGCAGAAAGAGCTGCCCCTGGACAGTGAGCAGAGACTGGTTATATAATTTTAAGTTGGATGCCCGTAGAGACTAAAGAAGGTTCCGAAAGGATTTTCATATGTTAAAGAAGACTTAACGGATCCGGATCCGGGAGGCCTGGCTGTTGTCAAGCTAAAGTTCCCTTTTGCCTCTAGTAAAGTATTACCATTAAAACAGTTGGGACTTCCTGTTGGAAAGCTCCTTTTGCAGGCCTCAAGTAGTTATCAGTGCGCTGCAGGTTATAAGGAAATTTAATGACGTCCACATGTCTTTTGCCTTTGTTTTTCACATCAGGGATCACAGCAGGGGGAAACAAATAGGAAAGGTGCTTGGGGGGGAGGAACTGGGGAACCTCTGGCTTTTATTTTTTTTATTATTTAATTTTTTTAATGTTTTATTTATTTCTAGGAGAGAGAGAGAGACAGCGTGAGCAGGGGAGGGTCAGAGAGAGAGGGAGTCACAGACTGAAACAGGCTTCAGGCTCTGAGCTGGCAGTCAGCACAGAGCCCGACGCGGGGCTCGAACCCACGAACTGTGAGATCATGACCTAAGCGAAAGTCGGACGCTTAACCAACTAAGCCACCCAGGCGCCCCTCTGGCTTTTAATACTTTAAGGAGAGCTTCTGTCAATCGCTGTGCTGGGGAAGTCCTGGATGAGGGGAGAGCTCCGTGGATGATGGAAGAAGCTGTTGCCAAGAACTCTGCTGATGTTCCCAGAGGAGTAGGAATAAAAATGCAGGAGGTCTCTCCCAAGAAGCTCGGTTAGGGTAGTGCTAGCTGCACTTCTAGTCCTCTTGGCCGACAAGTGGCACCTGTTATTTTTGCTCACACGTCATGGTCCACCTGCTTCACCGAGGTGCAGTGTGTGTGTGTGTGTGTGTGTGTGTGTGTGTGTGTGTGTGTGTGTGCATGTGCGCATGCATGTACACTGGCTGGAAAATGTAACCCCTGGTGAGCCGTCACGTTCAACAACTCTGTATGGCGGAAGGATCGCAATTTCGGCGGAGCAGCCAGCCATCCCTGACATGGGAAACAGGGAGAGGAGTCATTACAGGATTAAGTGGTAGCACAAAGAAAGAAAGGGGAGCACTTGGGGCACCTGGGTGGCTCAGTGGTTGAGCTTCGGACTTTGGCTCTGATCATGACCTCATGGTTGTGAGCTCGAGCCCCACGTCGGGCTCTCTACTGTCAGCACAGAGCCTGCTTCGGATCCCCCCCCCCCCGCCCCTCCCCAACTTGTTCTCTCAATCTCTCTCTCTCTCTCTCTCAAAAAAAAATTTGTGTAAGGGAGCCCATTGTGGTGAAGGTTTCTGGAACCCAGGACACATGGACTGCTTCTTGGAGGTATGTGGTTGGCTGAGATACCCTCTGGGGATGGTAGGGAGTCAAGGTCTCTAGGGACGGAAAGTTCAGGTTCCAGGGTACAGATGAGGATGAGGTTTGCACACTGAGGGGTTAAGGAAATGGAGATCAGGACAGAGTAAAGAGGTGTCACCAGAAGGTCCAGGGTGGTGACCAGCACCAGTAGTTGACCTGGTAAAGCAGGCAGCCTCTTAGGAGTCCTTCAAAGGGCCCTGAGGGCCATCTGATGGACAGCAGAGCAGTTTGGGGGGTTAGAATAATCTAGTTTGACCATTGACAATGGCATCTTGGGCAAATGGCTTCAACTGTCTCAGAGCTTCCCTTTTGTTTCTGAAAGGGGATTGTTAATAGCTCAGCCCATGGGGTGCTGGTAAGGATCACATTTCCTAATATGTCTCAATTGCTAGCACCCAGTAAAGAGCTTAGTAAGTGGCTCATAGGCCTTTTGTACCTGGGTTGCTGCAAGAGCCTCTTGAAAAGTCTTCCTTTTTTTTTTTTTTTTTTTAAATAAACCTCCTTCAGCCTGCTGCCTACCACATTTGCTTCTTAGTGCAGCAGCCAGAACGACTTTTTTCAAACATAAGTCACCCAAGTCCAGAGTGTAAGCTAGAATCCTACACCCGTGTAAGGCCCTAGGTGATCTGGCTCCTGTGCCTCCCGACCTCATCTTCTGCTCCCCTTCTTGCCCTGCTGTCCTGGCCTCCGTGCTGTTCTTGAAACAGGCCAGGCCTGCCCCTGCCCAGGGATTTTGCTGTCCCATCTGCCTGAAATCCCCTTTCTTCTGCTACCTGCATGCCCTCCTCCTTTCCCCTCTCTCCTGTCTCTGCACCAATGCCTTCTTCTCAGGGAGGCTTTCTCGGACTATCCACTGATCTCCGTCCTTCCCCCACACACCCTGATGTCGCTATCCGTCTCCCCTGCTTTAACTTTCTGCACTGCGGTTATCCATTTCCAAAGCATTACTCACATACGGATGTATTTTGTTTTACTCGTCACTTGTCCCCTCCCTGGAAGGCACGTTCTGGGGGGGGCGTGGGGTTTCTGGCTGGCGTCCGCACTGCTGGATCGCTGCTTGGGTCACAGCAGACCGTGAGTACTTTTGCATGTTGTAGCTCTGGAGCTTCTGCACAGTGGAGGAGCTCAGGGCTCTCCGCCGGTCCCTCACCCTGCAC